CGGAAGAGAGGGACTTATTAAAATTCCGAAAACGATTCGCTGCGGAACGAAATTTGATTAAAGCTGACGCGCGACGACGACGGAAGAAAGAAAGAAAGGCAAACTCGGTCTGTCGTCGACTCACGCGCGACACACTCGTTCCCACAGCTCTCCACGGAAATCTAACGGGCCGTGATAAATCGCTATAGAACTGCGCGCACGCGGCGTGAGATAAAAAATTGGCAAAAAGTTCGGTAGGTCACCGAATTCGAAGGACGCGCGAAAGTAGACGAAAGATTTATGCTTTTTCAAAAACCTCTTTACTGCTATTATATGCTTTCCTGCAATGTGTCTTTTTTTCTCCACAATAATGTAATATACCAACAGATGTTTCTGACTTGTCGTTCTCGCTTGAATTTATATCAGCTCTCATAAAAAAAGCAACCTATAATTCATTCGATCAATTTAATATACGATCTCGACTTCTACTGTGAATATTAAATTCTGTCGGTGTATTTATTACGTTACTGATCTATTGCATTAAGTTACCAGCAGTCTCAATTCAAAACATGCTTCATTATTTTCCATTATAATTTTATTCATCCGATCCCTACGTTCGCAACTAATTTAATTGTTTTTATATGCTACTAAGAATCGAAAGGATCATATATTTTATATTGAATGAATTACAGAAAAAATTATAATCATAATAGAATAGACGTGCCAGATCTATTTTAGATGCACAATAAAAGCAATGAAATAATTAAATGGATCAATCGTTCTTTATACATTTAATTGTCTCTGCGATACAACAAATTAAATATACTAAGTACAATACCGAGTAAATCAAACAATAGAGCACGCGTGTAAAATTCATTAAATTTATATTAATTTTAGATGGAAAATATGAACGTTTGTGATCGTACGCGTGATCGAATGTATAAAGTTCTAAGTTTGACTGATAGTGGGAATCTGGCTATCCCAAAATAAGGTATGATTGCATGTATCACTAAGATAAGCCTTAATTTGAATAACGTGACTTGCTATATAGAGCCTCCTTTCCGGAAAACCTTACGAGAGCGTTAAGCCCAGCTCAGTGATGAGTAACGGTGAGTGCAGTGTAGGCTCAGATACTATTCACTGCTCAGTGATGGGTAACCTGAACGGGCTCGTCAACTGAATATTAATAATCGATGTTCCCTTCCCTTTCCTAACGGCAATTATTAATCCATTATGTTTCTCTCTCTCCCTCTTTATATTATCTAATAATTATTATTGTCTTTTCTTTATATATTCAATTGTTAATTACCTATGTATATTTCACCTGTATCCAGGCTCCAGCGCAAGGTAAGTGAGAGTGGAGAGAGATGCGTGTACGCAGCGATACGCGTAATGCACGAGAGCGAGACGAACAGAGACGGACATACACGCCGCGAACTTATAACCGCGTGCGCTGATTGGCTATAAACTGACGCACCGCGTGAAAAAGGAGCAAGGCCCGCGAGAAATTCTTGTCCAGCAAAAATAGATGTAGAAAGAGGCAACTAATCCAGTAACGTCAACTAGGATATTCGAGAGAGAAAATAAAGGAACTACTGCGTCTACGTTTATCGTGTGAAAGTATTCTGGGTGCTACATCGAACTGCGAAATCGAGGGTTAAGTGGAGTGAGCAGGACAATAGTTGTAACGTACTCGTATGCCGTGCGTGTTCGCCTCCACGAGAACTATTGCTAGGCGTAAGCGTGTCTTGTTTTCCTGTATCGTTTCTTAGGCGTTTTAAGTACTCGTTCGATTGTCTCCCTCTCTCGCACTACTTGGTATATTCTCTCTCACTCTCACGCCGCTTATGTTTCTCCTGCCTAATTTCTCTGATTGATCTGATTAAACCAAAGCTCAATACAATTGTATATGTATTTCGCACGCCTATTCTTTTACGTTATTCTATACGACCAGTAGATTCATCCGTATACATTCCTATTTCATAATGCACATTTTATGTTAACCAGACTGAATTCCCGTTACATCTTATACCGGTTACATAGATGTCCTAGTTAATTCGGTAAAGCCTTCGAGTCAATAATGACTAATGTAACTGTTAACTGCTTTTTCCGATAATTTTTAAATTCGCCATATCGCTATTCTCTTCCTTTCCGTATTCAGATGGAATTAATAAAGTCACAAATATAAATGTCACACGTCATTAAAATAATTAAATAGCCACCCATTATTTGCGTGTAATTTGTTCATTTAAATGAGTCATGGCAAAAATCATTAATGGTACATTTTTCTACAAACTAATAGTTCGTGTATGGAGATTTTAAAAATCAAGTTTTCTGTCGATTAATATAATTATAGATAAATAATCAATTATAATCTCTCGTTTTTGTAAAGGCTGAGGTTAAGTGGGATACAAGTTGTAGATTAAAATCTAACTAAATCTATTATATTTATATCTCAAACAATCAAAAATAAAAAATATACTCATAGGTATTAATATAAATCATTAAAACTAAACAACGGCATTAAAAAAATTAAGGTTCGAAAAAAGGTATTAATTCACAAGAAATATAAATTAAAACTAAATTAAATTACGTGATAAACCAAAAATATCAGATATAGGAAGATACGCGCATTCTCTAGAGGTACAATTGTGAAAGTGACTTGCCTCAACGCAGTACTGAGTCTGACAGTCCTTTAGACGTAGAACCATGTCATAAGCAGTGCCAAATTTCCCTTTTATCCTTCCACGGTTTATCGCCACCATTGCAGCTTGGGCCCACCGACGCGCGCAGTTCTTTCTATCTCGCTATGCCAACAGCTATTCTAACTTCAAACAACTGCTCAAAAAACTAATCAGTAAACGACTCAGGCTATGCATTCTAAAGAAATAATAAAAAAATAACAAGAAATGAGCTGACTTCTGCGTCTTGAAACTTTCATAAAAGTATTTCACCAGTCACCAAGATTATTCTCCTTGAAATAATTTCCAAGTTAATTTCACGGTTAGAAAGTTGCAAAACTATTTGAAACTTTGCAAGAAGTTCGCAACTATCTTTACAAACTGAGTAACTGCAAAATTAATTGCATTTTTTGCAGAGCCTAACATTCTGCAAAAAAAAAGAAAGCTCGAAGCGTTAATCCATTAAATATCACATACTTTGCAAGCGCAACGCGCAAAAACGCCGATGCAAAAAAATTGCACCGTAGTTGAAAAAATTGAAAAAAGCTTCCTCTAAAAAGAGTTCAAGAATGTCTCTATACAGGAGTATAGGTTAAAGCCGCTAACGGGTTGGTGCCTGTGTCCATAGTATAATAATTATTTCAGTTGTACCTGTCCCATGGGTGTTACGTACGCCTCGCTCATCCGTCACGAGTTTCCTCTCCTCTGTCCCTCTCTCTACTGGTTCTCTTTAGTGTAATTCCCGGAGCACTGAGACAGATTTGAACAGTCCCATTCCACCTGGCAAGTTAACTTCGTTTCGTCTCTAAATTCTTGCCTCCTCCCCTGAGCAATTGATGAATCGACCGATTGTTTTATCGCCGAGCGATAAGGTGCACTCTTGTTTTGGTCTTTTAGTTGGCAGTGAAAGCGCTGTATTTCGAGCTTCAATGTGGGAGATTGAAATATAAGGTCAATTTATCCAGAAAAAGAAAAGAAAAAACGGGATTTGGCAAATATATCCCCAACTTTTTTGCGTGACTTGCTAAAAGCAATCCTATTTTCTCTAAGCTGGAAATCTTCGCGATTTCAAATACCAATGTAGTAGATAATTTGACTGTCGATTATGAAATTGAGATATTTTGAAACGAAATATCTGCACTAGTTAACGCTCTTTCATTTATTTTATCAAGTTGAAAATTTCAGACACAATCAACACTATCAAATATACGGAATAAAATATGTATGTGTGCGTGTAATGCATTATAGAACATAAAGTAGAAGAGTTGTAAAAAAGTAGTAGAATCTGCTCACTCGCGCGCTCGCTCAACAGCAAGTTTTTACACGAGTGGCCAACTTTTGAAAATTTCACGAAATCCATTAGGCAATGCTCGCTAAGGAAGAGGAGGGGGGGGGGGATAAACCAGATACCAGAGATTAAATCCTCGATGGCACACGGAAAAGTCAGAAGAGGATATAACGCTGGATCTTGGCAATCGGATGGAATTTAACGATCCCTGAGTTGGCGCTGGGAATGGGAGAGAGAGGAAGAGAGAACGGGAGAGAGCTAGCAGCCGATAAAGAAAAAGGCCACCACTACTATGCTTCTGCCCCGGGACGAAGGAAAAAGTCGGCGAGTCCAATAACGAGATGCCGATAACACGTTCGACCCCGACGGAAACGACCTTATCATTGGCGATGAATCAATCGTCGAGTAGTAACTATCTCGTCCCACTTGCAAATTCCAAATTTCTGCCTATTTTGCCTTTAACTTTTCATTGTTTACATACGATATTGATAAAAAGCATCCAGATAAAAAGTTCGAAAATGCACGTGGGTTTAACCCAGAGAGATTTACTATTTGATATGTTCGACTCGTCACATTATTCTAGAAAATTGCACAACTAGCAAAGCACAGGAGATAAATTAATGCAGATGAGTTTTGATGCTGGGTTACATTATATCACATAATTAATATCCAATACTGCAAGCGCTAGCTGAACATCAAACCTAATCAGCAGCAACAGAGTTTATGACGTGTGAATAATTGTCGGATCAATGCGAAGGCTATCAATTTAATAGGAATCGCCTGGCCATAACTATGCTAATTAATTTATTTTCATAAGCATAATAATAATTAAAACGTCATTTCCTAATTTCATGTATATGATACATCATATTATGTTCTAGCCTAAAAATTAACATGTTGCTCAAAATAATCGCGATTGTATATACCACATGTAACACACAAAACGCAACGGATATCATCGGCATTATGAACGAATGATCTATATTTCTACTGTAAAATAAAAAGTCATCAGTTAAATATAATTAAATAAAAATGTCTCTTTTTTATTTCAGGTGGATTCGTGAATTCATCGCGAAACTTTCGTACAGACTTTCTGCAAGAACTACCAACACCAGGCACGGGTCCGCACTTTGATGTAGCAATGAACACGAATTTCACGGGATTAGTTGGCAAAACTGTGCATCTAATCTGCAAAGTAAAAAATTTAGGAAACAGAACAGTGAGTTGAAAGAATGAAAACCTTTGCAATATTTATCAAGTAGAAGAGATCATGCTTTGGTCAGACGTAAATCGATGATTTATTTTCTAAAAGACTTGTACAAAAAGCCATTTCCTGCCATATGTCTCTCGATATTTCAGATCATTAAAATTAGCTCGTGACCAAGTTTTAGAAAAATATATTTGTAAGTCCATGTATCATCGAACCCTCGTCATGCTTGAAATATGGTTAGCGATAAATCCATTTTGCACGCCATTTTTCAAGTAAATTTATTTACTCTATTACTCAAACGAAATTCGAATAAAGATTACTTTGTGCAACAAAACCCCTCCCGAAATACTCGAACAAGATTATCTTCGAGTAAGTTAATCAATTCAATAAGCTATGTTCATTTGAGTAAACTCCATTAATTGGACTAAGAAATTTTGTCCTGTCCAAACATCATTCGTTACTTCGAAAGAGATCTGCGAATTAGCCAGCTTCCTTACACGCGAATACGCGTGAATGTATCTGAAATGTACGCGTACATTCCTTCCGACAATCGTTTCGCCCTTCTCGAGTTTGTGTTTCTTTGAATAATTCACCCGCCCTACTGTTCGCAACTTCGTCTCGAAATGGACTCGAAATTGTAAAGGAATTTTTCGTTTCGCACACAGCGTCCAATCACTTTAAAAGCAAAGCAACTTTTTGAAAAGTGGCGATAAATCAGTTTTCTACTGTCATCAATCTTACGACATGAAAATCCTATAACAGAAATGTCAGAAAGTTTGATGAAAAATCTCATACGTTCTCTAGCTGTTTTTGTTCTACAATCCGCAAACACAATCGTTTCGTCGAATGACGTCAAGTACGAAGTCTAGTGGCACAACATGTCGTGTTGTTGCATCTTGCCTGCCCTCGATATTACAGAGGTCTGGCTTGGAAACAGAGCAGGCTTTAAAAGGTTCGCATGTTTGAGTTTTATCTTCGACGAAGCATTTCTTGAAAGAAACCGATGAGCTGAAAAATGAAATCCCAATAAACTGTTCTCTGGTTGATATTAAACAAATGGAAAGATTTATTTTATCTTCTATTATTGATCTGTATCAACAATTATTAATGAAACCTCGTATATGTAGAAAAATAAACGTAATTAATCTATTGCGAATTACGAAAGTAGAAGAAAAAACTTTTCAACTAGAATTCACAATTTATTCAGAGTTGTTAGCAGAGAAAATAAAAGTTGAGCAGAACACAGAAATGAATTCCATTTTAATGAGCTCCAGGCTTTACACTGAAACATAAAAGCTTTTAAAGTGAATTTACAATGACTTCTTTTCATTTATACTAAAACATAATATTAATATTGTACAAGAAACTTTTCTCTCGAATTAGCATTGGCTTTGAAATACAACATCGAACAAAAGCTTTTCAATGATATTACGTTACATAACACAACAAATTCAGTTGTATTTAATATAATTTTACGTAATTCTGGGTGATGTAGATGCAATTATTCTCATGACATTTACAAGAAATATGAATATCGCCAAGGAATAGAAAACTTTTTTCTTTAAAATAGCTTTTATCACTGCATAACATCTATTATACAAGCGGAAGATACTGAAGCATGCCAATACTCGAGGAAGTGGATAAATAACTCGAAAAGAAAATAAAATGGCAGATCTGTATTTGCTGTTGATAGGTGTCTTGGGTGAGGCATCGTGACATCCACTTGTTGACGGTTGGCCGCTACACGTACACAAGCGACCAACGTTTCGAGGCGTTACACTCACCTCACAGCGAAGAGTGGACGCTGAAAATACGTTACGCACAACGCAAGGATTCAGGTATCTACGAGTGCCAGATATCCACGACTCCACCCATTGGCCATCCGGTCTATCTCACAATAGTCGGTAAGTGAATAGTGCGTTTCTTCTTATTTTTGCTTTATGAAAGCTTTGCTAAAAATAGGGTGTAGATATTGATGTAATTGGCGGATGTTTATTCACATTTCGCGAAAAGGTCCTTCCTATAGTCATATCAATCCAATCATTGAACTATGTTATCAAAGGAGTAAAAATATCGAGTCATATACATCTGCGTGTCAGCACAACAGTAATCTACTTACGGAGATAGTTCAATCAACTAATATGCTCCATTTAATGTTACGTAATTACCGTATTATAAGGCTCCTTTTGGCTTTGAAGAGTCTACTTGAATAGAAATGTCCATCTTAATTTACTAATGGCTTACGCTTCAGACGTATGTTCCCTCACCGTCACTATAATTACATTCATTGAATAAAATTACGTTTGATTCTATCGAAACAATGAATTAATGCTTCTGAATAAAAAAATCCATATCAAATATTCATAGCAATGCAATATTTCCATATTGATCAATCAATACATTTCAAAAGCCAAAAATATGAAAACCATGCAGAAATATATATAAAGTTTAGATATAAAATCATTTAGCAATAATAAGATGCTTAATTAAATTTTAATGATTTAATTATTAAAGATGCATTCATATCAATCGTGCATCAATCATGAATCTGAATAATCATTAACACATTCGAATTAATTCGAATTAATCACGTAGAAGAGAGAAAAAAGTGTGACGCAAAGTATGGTCAATTAAAATCTACAAATAAATCGATTCAGAGTACTCTGTAGAACACATAGATCTCATCGAGAAGTAATATTTCTTCAGTGGAGTTAAACGATCGCACACTTGATATATATACAAAACCATATCGGGCAAAAATCGTTGGAAATGGAAATCAAACCGACGTGGAAAAATTCAAGGAATGGAAAGGGAAAATCAACGAAGCTGTCTCCCTCCTTCCTCTCTCTTTCTCGTTCTTTCGCTCTTTCTCCTTCAAGCGTTCGAAGATGGAACCTTAAAAATAAATCGCTTGCATTTTGGTGAGGAGGGAGGAATATAATCAAAGGTAGTAGTACAGCAAAAAAGCTGAGAGCGGGCATACAAGATCGAAAAGTGGCTACGGGCTCGAGGAGAATGAGAAAGACGGATAGAGACAGGCAGAATGGAATCTTGCGCAATTCATCTTGAAAGCGAGTGTTAGTTAAGCACCGAGCTCCAGACACGTTCTCGCAGTGGCGCATATGCTAACTCGCGGCGCGCACGATCCAAGCATCCAAACGATATCTCGCTAATGTAATTTATGGCTAATGTTGAATTTTTTTATGTACGTGTGTAAGCAGCATTAACAACATTGTCTTGGTGAGTTATCTAACTAAATTTTTCGTTTGAGTTAACACATATTGTTGTCGCAAAGTCAGCATTTTCAAAATATTTAAATCTCGGTAGCAATAAAAACCAGTACAAGAATCGTTGCTAGAGTTTATACGGCAAGTGAACAACTCTTCGTTTAAATTTGTTCGTAATCCCTGTCAATAAATCAAATATCTCAAAGACCATAGAATTTCATTAATAGAAACTAGTTCGCGTTTGAAATTGAATAGAAGATCTCGCTCAAAGAACCATTTTAGAGAGGCCTTCATTACAGCGCATACACCTGAACTACTATATGTCCGTCAAACGCGAACAAGTTACAAACTTGGCACAAACATAGGTAGATACACAAGAGAGAGCGAACAGGCAATCACACACGCAATATACGTAGTGTAGAACTGTGGCAAAGTTCTCGTATAAATGGTGTGCACGATCAGAATGAGGAAGCTATTATAAACGGGGGTATTCCTGTTTCAGAGCCAGAAACCCACATAATCGGCGCGCCTGATCTTTTTGTCAATAAGGGTAGCACCATCAACCTCACCTGTCTAGTAAAATACGCACCCGAGCCACCACCAAAGATGACCTGGAGTCACAATGCCGAGGTGAGTGTGAGGGACTATAATACAGCTCTTCTACTTTTCCTATTGCTGAAGTTGCGCTTTATGGACGGGCTACTATTCCAATCGAGTCAATTATTGAATTCAATTATTGACTCGATTGGAATAGTTTCTCCTCCTTAGCCGCGACTTTCGTAACACTAGGTCTTTTGCCCTCGTTTATGCGTATATATGCACACAGTGCGAGCAGAGATTAATAGCTCGATAAATTGTTATTATCACGCAGCTTATTGCAAATTTACGGAAAGCGCGCACACGCACTTGTAGTTGCGTTCCAACACGGATATTGCTACATCGAGATATTGTTCACATACGATCATCGATTTTCAGCTTAAACGATAACATTATGCGAGCGAGCAAGGCGAACAATACGCGGAATTACTCTCTTATTAATGGTCGCAATTATTCATAAATATGCGTCGGATTGCTTTGGCGCGGGTAATATCAACGGGCGTTAATAAGCACTTTGACTTTCCACACATTTATATTATAGATTTGATAGGATGACGTAACGAAAACTAGCCACCAATCGCGCTTGGAACGAACAATGAAATAAATTTCTTCGAGGAGGCTTTGTCTAATCAACGTAACTTTCCAAGAGCTCCGTCTCTGTCCTCGCTCAAGCCTGGCGCTGCATTTCTACCTGACAATTAAAGACTTTTGGACGTAGATTGCAATCATCAATATCAGAACACGAACAGTCATCTGCGACTTCTGCTACTGGCATCACGAGCTCGCTCGCGCGCAATTAAATTCGCCTTTGCAAAAAGACCCTAATCAAACTAGTTACTGCAAGCTATATCTATATCAATTAGCGTTCGAGCGCGTACAACTTGCTATAGCAATTCGTGCTTTCTTCGTGAGCCCCGAGGTGAACTACCTTTTATGTGCTCGCGCGGAGAGATGTTCTCCCCCGATCAATCTTATCTTATTTTGGTTTGATTTGAAACTTACTTTGTATACATTATCAATGCTGCAAAATAAGAAACGTGGTCGCCGATTAACCTCTATAGCAAATATTAAATAAATTGGCGCGCTTTATGTATCGAACCTGGTACGAGCATGATTGATGAAGACACTAACGCGACAAGGCGCCGCAGGCTCATCAATTATTCGCTCATGTATGTGTGTCTATGCTCATAGGAGATCAACTTCGACTCGCCGCGTGGTGGTATCAGTCTTGTGACGGAAAAGGGCCCCGAGACGACGAGTCGACTGATGATCCAGCGTGCAGTGCCGAACGATTCTGGCGTCTATACGTGCCAGCCGAGCAACGCCAATCCGAGTAGCATACGGGTGCACGTCGTCAAAGGTATACGTATATATTACCATTTGAACCCTCTCTCTCTCTCTCTCTCTCTCTCTCATTTCAGCTTCTTCGCTTTGCATACGCTAATTGTTTAACAATGTTTCTTCATCTTCCATCTTCGTCAAAGTAAATATCGCTAAACTTTATACTCTGAGGGAAATTTATATTCGTTTCGAAAAATGGATCTTTAGAAATTTTTATAGGAAACACTTTCTTATGCTTTTGAAGCCCTATGGCAAAGATATTATTTCTCCAATCTTCAACTTCTTTACCGGGTTTATCGACTTTTGACTTTTTATAGAACCAAACAATATCTGTCTAGATACGGTTTTATGTTGTCCTGTCGGGCCGGAAAAAAACTCGTTGACGGAAGAATCCAACAATCGCAGAGAGCTCATCGTAACAAATAGGAATTGAAGCATGGGTTCTTTTATTCGTAATCACAACGTCGTCGAAGTGACAAATAGACATGTGCTCGGTGATTATGGAGCAACGAGCAAGCAGACGCTAGTCACAGCCTCGAGTGTATGTAGAAGGGCTAATGCTGTGGCTACATATCTCTCTGCTAGTTCTTTGGCCTCACGGGGCCATGGGCCAGTAGAACCAAGGGATGATATGGCGCATGATGTACGACGCGCTATTTGTCTCCGTCGTCGAGCTAAACGTCATTCATTCCCCCGCTGCGAGCACGCACACGGTCATCTTTTCGTTTCGCTTCGTCGCTGCACTCAATTTTTCAATCCGTCTCTTTCTAAATCTATTATCTAGCTGATGTCACACTTTGCACTTACTCCCAGCGACTTTTCATCTTTCTATCTCTCTCTCTCTCTCTCTCTCTCTCTCTCTCTCTCTCTCTCTCTCTCTCTCTCTCTCTCTCTCTCTCTCTCATTCCAGTCGCTGCTTTTTCAACGAGTCTTTTCGCTCTTTTATGAATTCTTTTTTCCTCGAACGCGGGCGAGAATATGAATCATACATTATTATCGCAGATGTACACTGTCATCGCAATCAAAGTTAATTACTGTCATAGTATCTGCAAGTTAATTAATAATTGTTAATTAACTTAATGCACACGTGCATATTTGCCGACTCTGTATTCCGCTTCAAGTGTAAACATCAATGATTTGATAATAGCCATCAATAGTGAATGTTTAAAAAATTAAAAACAATTCGTGCGTTCATACATATCGTGCTCGTTATTGTTTGCCATCGAAATACTCCCAGTCAACAACAAAAAATAAAAAAAAGTAGAAAAAGCAGCAGTCATTGCTACTTCTGAAATTATTCTGCAAAAAAAAGCTCTAATGTTAATTTTACCGAAAGTCAGCGAGAGCAAAGAATAAATAAATGAAAAGCAAAATGTTGTTGATCTTTTTACAGAGGAGCATCCAGCAGCAATGCATCATGGCGACGGTAGTGCGTCATTCGTCAGGTCTGCATCGACGGCCCCGTTAATGCTAGTAATAGTCAACGTGATGTTTGTATAAAGCCAACCGCAAACTTTCGCCGATTGTGATATGTGTGCGTGTGGGTGTATGTGATATATATATGACGGGCTCTAATTGTGAGAATACGAGTACGTACCTGTATATGTCGTCGGGTAGTTGTATGAATGTGTCTATCTCTTATGAATGCGCGCACGGGTCTGAATGAAAGCGACTGGCCTAACACTGACCGTTGCTTCTTTTTTCGTATTGTATTCAGCACTGGCTCTGTTATATTCGTATAAGGAATTTAGTATTTTGTTATTCGACGAGTAAACAAAGAAATTTCTTTGTGGGTGTGGCGAAGATTTTCAGGATTAGGACATTTGTAAATAACATTCACTGTATGTACATATCAATAAAACAATTGTCTTTGAAATAGTCAAACCCAGCAATTTTTACTTCTTTTATTATTTATTTTCATTTCTACTGTGATTTAATATCCGTTATTGAATTTATTATTGAAAATATCTAGTGAAGAGCACATAATTGATGTATTTAAGCCACGCGATTTATTTTAAAACTAGGTTGATTTCCTCGAAACACCAGTACTAGACATAATTTAAACGGCGAGTTGAATTGTAGGTCGCTTAATCGAATCTAGCCGTTGATCGACCGAGAGAGGAGACTTTCATAACTGTCGGAAGATTGTAAATCGACGGAGGAAACTAAATGTCCCAGGATGTGCAGCAGCTGTAGCGACGGGACAATGACTTATCAATATCAATTCAGTGCTCGAACTTCATCCTCGAGATCTTCTTTGCAAGCCGAGGAGGCACTATTGAGATAAACTATGAAATCGACGACCTTTGGTTGATGTTGGATCACTGGCGGCGCAGTGACCGCGCGGCATTGTTTCCCGTTAACACTTATCCAAGTGCAACGTTTCTTCGCGTAATTCGTTGGCGGTTCATGCAACGTCATTGTTTTACCAAAAGCAAAGAGACAAGGCCCGAGGTAAGGTTGTGTGTCGGGAACAGGCTGTCGATAGGTTAGTTCAAAGCCACCTGTATCGGCCTGAGGGTTCAATGGTAGATCGAGCACCACTGTGAAAGATATGGAATAATAATTGGCTATTTGCGTAAAACATTGTGCAATGCACGTATTAGTCTTATATAAATTAAATGCAAAAGGAAATATCAGTTATAACATTAAATATAAAATCGTCTCGAGATTCTATTTTTAAAATATTTTCTTGGAACTCAATGCATAAATTTATCAGTTTGAAATAGACTTCATCAAAGTCGACTAAAAAAAGGAAATTCTCTTTCTCTTTCAATATTCACAAGCTCGCTAATGATCGCTAAGATATTGTATAATCGAGAAAATAACGCAACAAGCATCCTTATGAAGTACAAACCTCCAGTTGTCTTATGAATATCGATTAGATCTTGGATTCAATAATTTATCGATCAAGCGAGAAGCGGAAGCAATTTGCAAAGGAAGGAAGGAATGACGGTAAGAAAACTCTATAGTGAAAGTAAGTCAGAAGGTAAGAAAAAAAAGGAAAAAAAATAAAGCGATACGAACCCTTGACCAGACTATCGAGTACAGCGGCATAAAGTCTATGGGTGATCCTGGAGCTTGGTGGATGCATCCTGGGATTGGTGTTTATCTCGATGAGCCAAACCGAAAGATCGTCCATAACCATGAAATCTGCACCATAGAGCTCGAAGCTGCAACGCCGCCGGTCCATGAAGTCTTGTGCCGCCAGCATCGTCAGCACAATCGCACGCGACATCGCTGGGTAGATCCTCTCGTAGTATGGCTCACCTTCGTGGCCTAAGCTTCTGCAAGCGTACACACACACAACTACAGAAGCTCACTCAATCTAATCCGACTTGATACGCTGCTGCATTGCCGGTCGCTTTTACGCATTTCCTCTTTCGCCCGCTCCCTCAAGGCTACATCGACCATTCTCTGCATTTCCCGTGATTTAGAGCTCGATACGACTTTATTGAGAGTTTCTTTTTCCATTACCTTTATCCGCGTGAATACGCACTTTTTGGATTTGAAATATATGGCTTTGATTTTATTTAATCATTATTAGTTTGGATTTTTCGACATACCATCTAAAAATATTTATTCATTCAAATCTTTTCTTGTCCGACCTAACGCTGATATACTTCACTGAAAAAAAATTTTCTTGTTTGCTTTAAATTTATTTTCTGTCAAAAGAATTGCAAATAGCATTTTATGAGAACGCCAAAATGAAGCCAATATAGGTGTAAATGAGTAGTTAGAACGCATGTGATGCCATCGTAAAAAAAAAACAAATTAAATTGCCATTGATTAACACGGAATTTCTCCCAAACTTGATGGTTAAAAGTTTTATTATGTATCTAGTTTACTTTATGTTCAGATTTTACGTACAGATTCAATTTTCAATGTTCGAGAATTTTATAGCTAATGAATTTCAATATACTGTTCAAAATATAGATTTGTTACGGTACTATCAGCATAAAAGCACAAGTGATGTAATGACGCTCTTTAAAGCCATAATACCTATGCAATTCAACATTCATCAAATTTTCATGCATGTGCTTACGAAATGTATTACAGTATATTCAATATCAAAAAATTTGAAACGCACGTCGAATGCTACGATTGTAACTTTGGTATTTGACGATCAATCGAATGAAACAGTACATCGAAAAAGAAGAGTCATTGAAAAGTACGCTTTTTCTTAGATCACTCTTACAAGTTTGCACCCGGTAAAGCTAATAATCTTCGAATCCCTTTGCGAGAATACATAAAAAGAATTATTGTGAAAATTACTTCAAGTATTCGTTGAGCTTCTCGCAGTTCCATCCCTGATCACGAACGCTGGCTTGGTGCTGCTGCTGATCGTTGGCAAGCTCTTCTCCACGGCTTCGTCTCCGTCGCCGTTCGAGGTCATATCTCTCTTGCACAGCCGTATTGCATAGATGGATCGCTTCGTGATAAGTTGTAGAGGTGTAGGGCTTGGAGCTGAGTCGCAGCAGAGCCTCCCTGAAGACATTTACCCCAATACCCCACCCCGGTAATGACTCTTGGCTCTTCTCCTCGCCAAATGGGTTTCTCGAGCAACGACGACGAGTGACCGTCGTCGTCGCTCGAGGACTCTCATGCCTATTATACTCCTCACTGAATCGATTTCGCAAGAGGTTTGTTTGACGCTCCAGAGAATTCTAGATGACTTTGCACGTGATCTCTCTCTCTCTCTCTCTCCCGCTCTGTTCTTTTTCTCTCTTTCTCTTTCACTCTCTCTCTCTCTCTCTCTCTTTCACTCTCTCTCTCTCTCTTTCGACTATCTGAACCCTCGTTCACTTCCTTAGTATATTGTATGGGACTCGTTTTTTATTTAATAATAGAATTAATAGTTACGCGGCTAGAGTTAGAAAGGAGTGTTATCATTAAATTGCCAAGTAATACAGCACAGTAAATAGGTTCTACGTTGAACTTCATTATAAAATCTGCGTAATCCTAATTATGGCAGGCATTTATGTTTGATCTATCGGTTAGTATTTCAGACTTTTTTAAGTAAACCGATAAAATTAGGGGAATTCCGTGTTCATCACTGAACAGCGAACAATTCAGTCGATAAGAATCAATTAAAAATAACGAAAAGTATCATGTCGTTAAATAAAAAAACACAAAATCCTAGTAACTAGTTGCAAATAATTGTCTGAAAAGAGAAGGAACGCACAATAGCGATTAAAAGTACGTGCTTTACTTACTTGAAAGTCCATATAGTCATAGGGAAGGTAGAGGTGACGAGGAACCACTGTCGAATGTCAAATTTGGTGGCATGCACGAGGAGAGGACGCTCTGCAAACGGAATGCTTGTTTATCTTGGAGAGAACGTGCGGGTAAATAAGTAACGACTGAAGGTTTCAAACACTCTCTCTTGGAAGAGAGAAACATTACCGATGTACTTTTGAACGATGTAGTAGTCACGAGGTTTGCTATCCACGCGCTGCATGATAGTTTTAATCTCGTGTGTCACGAAGATGCCCGAACCACAGCATAAATTACTTGGCTTGACGATCCATATGTTTCTTTCACCATTCAACTTGAATTGAGAATCCAATCTTGATAGCTTCTCCAATGCCGATTGAGCTGCTGCGTGAAGCATCTGTAAATATCAAACAGTGAACGGCTGCGATGTGACTTACGTTGATGTTGAAAAATACGACTCATTAACTATTAGATAAACATTGCTTTCTACCTTTCTAAGACAATAGTCATTTTAACCAAGTGTATAGCTATTTCTACATTACTTTATTCGAAAGTTGTGCTACTTAAGTTTTGAATGGAATTCATACTAGAGCTTACTAATATCGGAAATGAAGACTAATTGTTTTTTGCACTTACTTTTAATGATACGCTTGTTCTCACGTTGGAGATAATAAAAGCCATCAACCAAAGTTTATTCACAAATAAATGACAGGTCAACAAATCATGAAGTTCAGATAAATAAGAGTGCATTGATTGATGCGTGAAGCATATATTAGATATGAAGAAAAAGTATAGCTGCCAGGCATAGACACAAACCAAAATGGAGAGGGAGAGGGAAGAAGGGTAGAAGAAGATGCGCGACGCTTCTCACAACTAAGTAGCTCGTGCTATCTGCCTCACAGATTCGACATCGAAAACTCTCTTTCGTGGGGTACAACGATATCTCATCCTCAGCATCGCTCGCCTCCCCCATTAGCATAGCTCGCCTAGCCAAACTTCTCGATACTTTTCAGCGTGACTCGGCGCTTCCGAAAGCAAGCAAGAAAGATGAAGAAGAAGAAAACGAGGGCTAAGGTTAGGCGAAAGAACGAGCGTGCGCATGAATAAGAGATACGCGCGAGCTGCTAATCCCAACCACCATTATCATTATCAAAGGGCTATTCCATCTCCAGTTGAATAATATGAGCGCGAGCGATAAATCATTCGAGCTGCGCGGAGGGGAGAAAAATCTCCGCACGGCACTGTGTGCTACGTAAACATGCATCAGTTGGTTTCACTGCGGCTGTCCGGGGATGAATGTGTACGCGTTCACTACTGTGTTCGCGGCGCTCGATTTGCTTTCTTTCTGCCCTAGCCCGCTGCCACAAGTATGAATTTACGATTTGGCCTTGATGTTTCAAGTTGCTGTTTCGAAAAAGAGAGGTAGTCGTGATTAATGCGCCGGATTATCTCGGTTGTATGGTGATTCGAGAGCGCTAGCACTCTTCTCACTCTTCTCGCTCTTCTCGTTCTTCTCTCACCCATTTTGCACGCTGTCGATAGCTTTTTGATGATTATAACCGTTGTCAACTCCATATAGTTTGTTTAACTTTTTTGAAAGAAACGTAAATGTTTTCTCCTGCACGCGGGTTTTGTTTTATTTTCCCGCGATTTTACAGCGAATCATTAATGGAAATTCGTTTGTGTACATATGAAAACTTGGCAATTCATGCAATTAATGACACATTGGGTAGTCAGATATATTCAATGCTAATTTTTACCGGGTATTATTGTATCAAATTCCAAATTGCAATTATCTGTAGTGTTCTTTTGGCATACACGAAAAACTAATAACCTGTTATAAATTAGCGAAAAAAATTAAAGCTTGAAAGTTGAGCTCGGAGCAGAAATTGAAATTGTCTCGTCACTCACCTCAAGTCGATTGGGATCAGACTTCGGTAAATTTGCCATTCCATTAGGCTTGTACAAGAGTCTCTCGCAATCTGCACTGAATAATAGCCATTCCTCTTCGCTTATCTCGCTGTCCACCTCGGCGTCGATGTCCTCGTGCTCCAATTCGGCGATTTGTTCTTCGCAACGTCTTACTGCAAACTCGATCGTCTCCAGAGGGATCTCAGGCTCGCCGCCACTACCACCGCCACCTCCTCCATCTGTCGATTCTTGTTGCTGCAACGGCAAACATTCCTTCGTAGCTGGACTTTTACTTCAGACTCAGACTCTTTCGACGACTCTTCCAAAATACTTTTGCACTGGTGCATTCTGTTTATTTTTCGTTTCGAATTCTTTGAACGTCAAAGTTTTTCTTGTGTGCTTCTCGATTACTTTTTTCTGTCTTCTCGCGGAAAGAAGTAATTGAAATCGACGTCTCTATACGAGTGTTTTCTTTAAATACTTTAATCGCTAGTTGTTTTTAAACACGATTCAATACTACGAATCAATAAAGGTAACATCAATCAAATCTTATACGATTTGAAAATTCATTGAAAAAGTGTAAATGCATTCCTAATTTGTTGATGCATGAGGAATTTCACAAAAAAGTACCACAATTCGGCAGCTTGTCTAACGAATTTATAAATTGAGTACACACTCTTGTTAATATGATCTCATCATACCACACGAAATATAGAACCTGTAAGGACTTCTGGCTATTCCCGTGCATGCTTATCATACCCTTTTGCTGGTCTATGCATACGTTATATATACAATAGTGTATTCATTGTCTAGCTATGAAAACTGTACCGTTGCAAATAAAACATTAACTAACGATATTAAAAAATCTTAATATTTATGTATTCAAGATATGGAACTTTACTTAATATTGATGTTTCGACCCTTTATTTTGCATCAAATTCCAAAAATATGTCAAAAAATAGTCGCGCGATTCCTGAATTAGACTTCACCGACGAAAATACATAAAAACAGAGGTATAATGTTGAATTTTTAATTTATTTTAATCTCAATTTTTAAGATTTTGAATTTAAAAAAGGGTATCTTACGTATGTGAAAGGAACAAAAGTATTTTTGTCTTCTAATTGATATTTAGAGTGAGGCAATCATATTACGAAGAGTGGTCACATTCAAATTATGGTACTATTTTGGAGGAATCCTACATATAGTCGGCTAGGGCCACACCAGATCAGAACAAAGACACTGACCAGTTCATCGGTATCTGGATTGTTGGCTTCGGTATTCGTGATGCGGCGTATAAACCGCCTGAGCAGTGCGACAGTGGTACAACGCCGAAAATCTGCCACGAAAGCCGCAAGCTCACGACTGGGGTTGTAGCTGCGGGGAAAGAGCACGTCCGCGACGCTTGCTTCGTACAGCCAATGCGCTTCTTGCAGCACGTGGGCCATGCCCAACTGCAAAATACGTGAATACGAGCTTTCAGTTATACCAATCTACGCTTACAATATTTCTTTGCCACGCCATCGTTTCACCTGAATTTTTTGGTCATATTCGAATTTTATGCGCACAGATAAAATAATAAAAGAGCACGTTTTTCATACATAAGAGTTGAGATTGAATTTCCAATGAAGCACACAACAAAATTTTCAGTAGACTTTATTAAATGCAGCACGGCGGAAAGTCTTAGGTATTTCACGGAAATACAAAAATTAAATAAGCTATTCCGAACCGAGAGAAAGCAGATGCCGTGGAACGTTGTAGGTCATTCACCTGATGCCCCACGCACGTGGGTCTGTGTTGTTTTTCCCAAAACGAATCTGATTGTGAGGAACGCGCCGATGCCAGGGAAATTTCCGAGCCTTACGACGCGCACGTGTTCTACCGAACTTGTCGTTTTCTTTCCTGTATGAAAGGGAGATATCTTTCCATCACGTTTACGATACCTGGTTCGATTTTTTAGGATCGGTTAAAACCCAAGATCCAGCCAGCCGATAAAGATAAAAACCGAGAGACGAATTCTCGAGTACCGGCACGATAATTAGTCGGTGATACGTCGGCCGGGAAACTTAAAAAAAGAAGCAAGCCTGCACGCGGACTGCGGTACACGTGCGAATTAGCTGCTTTGTAATCACCGCCCCCGCAAAATACTTATCATATGTAAGCGTGCGGCTATCAAAAACGTTTTTATATCTGGCTAAAGGCTCGAATGGCGGATATTTGTAAGAGACATTCCCGACCAACTCCTTCGCGAAAAACAAACCTATCGCAAAGTCGATACCACCTCCCCCAAATCACGCATATGAGCACTTACGAAAATAAGACGGCTCGTTATGCCCCGAATAGGACACGCTACGGTCCTTGAGAAAAAAGGAAGGAGAAAAACGGAATCTCTCCCTACGAAAAATCGAGCACCAAGATCTCGAGTAGGAGGATGGTGATGCACGGCGCCCTATTGGCAGAAGGGCTGAAAAGAAATACGTCCCCAGACCTCTAGGTCAGACATCGAAGGGGGAAAAAACTCTCGATACGACCGACTGGGTACTCAGTTGCGTTCCGTCCTGTGACGCGTTCCATCAGTCGCCATTTAGCGCTTCTCTAAGCCAGATTTTTTCTGCAACAAAATTGTCTACTTGGCCTTTTGATTTCCTATGTAAAAGGGTTCTGACGTTACTGCAATAAAGACAAGAAATACAAAAAGAACATGTTCCTTTATTTCCCGCTATCCTCACCTCAATATAAGCCAGCAGCATAACATGGTTTAATGAATTATACATTGACTGAATATCTGAAAGGGGATTCGCAGACGCATATCTAGTTTAGTAAAAAAATGTTAATGAAAGCAACGCTGGAAATTAGTGTTCCAAAACTTTTCTTGAAGAAACTTCTGGAAATATGCTTCAATTAGAACTTTTTCTGATTCTATTACCTTAGCGTTAACAACTAATGTTGTTTTATAATTTTTATCTAAAACGGCGAAAGAGTAAATACATCACAGTCAATTGGATCATTTGATGCGAACTAACTATCGACGTTTTCATAAAAATTAGGAATAAGTCAATTAAAAGTAACTGAAAGACTTGATCGATTAAAATAATATTCGTATTCTGTATAGTCGTGTGCAAGTCTACAGTATAAGTTCGGCGAAAGCCCAATGAAGCGGTTAACAGTGTAATTTATTGCCGAAAATTATTCGGCGAGTGAAACAAAACTTATATATCACAATTTCATGCTCAGTTTCCAACGAATTTATCGCTTGACCGTTTGCTACCCGCACTAGAACCTAACACTTTCTTTTTACATATTGCCACAATGTTCACAGCATTCGCAATAAACTAATAAAATAAACAAAAAACAAATAAGAGAGATTTAATTGGACTAACCTTGGAAGTGTAGAGCGAAGGCTTGTGAAATCGATTGAGAAGTACACTAGCGGCAATTGAGCGATCCCACTCGATAAAGTCATTGCGGCAGTCCCATATGAAATCTGGTTGCGTATGTCTCAACAATGCATAGGTTAATGCTCGTTCATTGAGTGTGCCGTCAGCAAGCCTTACATCGCCAAGTGACTTAACCGACTCGAGATTCACACTTGCTGATATAGCTATGTGAAGCAGTTTGCAAGGGATTAGTATTTTGGAAGGGATCGCTTAGGTGACATAATCCTATTGATCCAGCTTACAAGATTTACTTGTACATAGTTCTGTAAGCAGGAATATTCTAAAACTAGTGGACTTCACGACTCTAATTACAAATTGAAATATTTTCAAGAAATCATGAATTTAGGTGGCACAGCGATGCAACTTGCAGCTTTCACTTCAAATACATCAGTTTTCTAATACTCGAATAGAGCTATATAACTGGGTAAATTGTTTTGATTTAACAATAACCGCTTGTCTATAATATTGAATTCGAAATTTTATATTGACCGCAAAATAATTAGTAAAAATGTAATAAAACCTCTACAATTCGAAATCGTTGATCATTCGAGGTTTAAACTCGGACTCTTGAATATATTTTATACCGATCAATACAAAATTACCTCAATAATTCAACATTCGACAATTCGAAAGCTGAATAATACAATGAAATTATGTACTCCACAAGACATTTTGACGCGCATTTTTACCTTAACAATTTGTAGTTACTCCGAACAGTCGATTTCGAGCGTATGCTATATAGGACTTTGTATAATCTATTTATAACTATAATAATATTTTAAATAAAAAAGGATGATTTGATGAAAATATACAATTAATTCAAACGGAATCGATTTTTTCTTCAGCTGTATAGAATCAACAGTTATAGAAAAAATAAAAGTACTTACAGAATCATCGCGATAAAGTGTTGTACTTACAAACTTTGAAAACATTTGTTACAACTGAAACTATAAAAAATTGTAAAACAAAGATAAATTACTTGCTTTTTGTCAATGAATAAATGTTGACCTTAAATATCTTAATAACATGAAATTTTTACAATTTTTCTTTATTGACAATTTGAATTTGAAGCCCAGACTCTCAAGTTTCGAATTATCGAAGTTTTACTGACATTCAAAAATAGTATTCAGCTTCACTATATAACAGATAACTTTTTGGAGGTATTATCATATAGATTGTTAAAAAACAATGTGATCTTCATGAATTTGATTTGAAGAAATTTTACATTATTATTATTTTATTTCGCGTTATTTAATGTTTAAAAAGATGCAAACAAATTTTGATAATAATTTTGATTCTATGATGTAACTTAAGCTCATTGCAGGAATAAAGTCGAAAACTTCTCAATTTCCCATTATTGAAATGTATGGAATTAATTTTTTTCTTATAAAATTAATATCTCTATTATGGATCTAATAAGAGTTTGAAAAGTTATTTATCTAAATGGCAGACATTCAAAGAAAATAAATTAAACTATATATTTCATTCCTAGTGCGAGAATGTGATTTAAGGCTTGTGTAGACACTTGCGCCCGAGCGGACCGCGGGTGAAGAAGTCACACGAAGATGAAATCACTTTCTCGTACACGTATCTAACTTTATTTTTCGACGCGACGTGTGTGAAACGAAATTTTAAGCATACTCGATTACTCGAGCGTGCGTTAAGTCCCCACGCACAGAGTATCGAACAAATGTTTTCATTACTGTTTCAATTGAATGAATAAATCATTGCTTTTATCAAAACTATTTAGCAGAGTAAATTAGAGAATTAAATGTTTTAAATAGCTTCAAAGTTAATCGATTAATCACTTGCTCCAAAGAAAATAGGTACATTTTTATTTCGACAAAAACATGATCAAAACTACCTCCATTCAAGGTAGCAAATTAACAAATATTGCAGTGGTAGTTGAACTGTTTCAATTTTTGTTTTCAAATTTTGATGGCATATTTTTAATATGTTGAATTTTAGATTTACGCTATGAAAAAATATGTTTTTTGATCTATATTTAGAGGATATCCAACCCAACTTCTTGCATAAAAAAAAGTATCAATATTATACGATTTTGACGTGATTAAATCTTGTGAAAAGATTGTGTGAAATTGGAATAATTATGAAAAAAAAAATAAACGTTCGAGTTACAGTTGCCAGTGAAGCCAAATCAAATGAAATATAATCAATCAACCAGAAACGCTAATACTACATTGGTAAATTAGTAAAATAAATCAAGTTTTTATGTAAACAATAAAAAAAGAAAGATAGCGATGTACGTCATTTCACAAATATGAAACTGATACTTGACCGTGCGCGCGCGAATACAAAGCTTAATCGTCCATAAATCCAAAATAATCCAGAACCCCATGATACATCTGCCGAAAATAACAATTTAGCGAACGTCTTGATATTTTGATATTCGCGGCAGCACCCTAGGCACATAAAACCGTACTCTTCGTCCATAAAATTCCGTTGGCGGGCAAAGCGCTTATAAACAAGATTACGTTGGAAAAAAAAGAAAGAGAAGCTACCTCATCAAAACTTTCATACGGTCATTATTTCGAAACGACGTTTACTTTCGAACAATATTTGCTTTGTGCTCTAGCGCACAATAGACCAACCATATGGAAGTGATCTCGTCCTGCTCGGCTCGTACTTCTGCACCCAACCGCGCTCCTCGAGAGCCTCCTTCAGCCTTGGCAATTCGCCTCGTATGAGAAATACCTTGTGCCGCTGTAGCCATACAGGTCGAAGATTTTTTACCGAAAATCAAGCTTATCGTTAGTCTAGATGCTCTCTTGCTTTTGTTTTTTATTCTATTATTAACGTATGGATAAATTTCCATTTTCAGAGAAGAATTCGGTTTATTTGAAAAAGATCGAGTTTTCTTACAAAATTGTTTATCTGCAGTATGCCTTTTTTAGCTTGAAAAATATTTCGAATGATATTATCAACAACGTTTTGTACAGATTTTATTGTGAAGTCATTCACACACCTTAACTATCATTTTAATATTGTATTATTATACATTTTTGTGAAATTTATCTTATTAATTTAAGCGGATAATATACTATTGTTGATAAGAAATAATTATGCAACATAATATCAGGAAGTACGGTCAAATACTGCTACTTGAATAAAAAAACTGATCAAGAGCAATTAATGTAAAAAAGCGGAGATGTCTGACTAGATTAAAGCGTTACTACTACAGAGATGGAATGTACTGATGCATATTAGGAATTCGAATAGTGAAATTCATGAAATAAATCTAATTTAGAAAAACTAATAAAAAATCTGTAGCAATAAAACGATATTTGAAGAAACTTTATACCTTTATAGCCTCCTCGACTTTGGCTTTGACTTTCTTGAAGGTATCGTGCCTGGCTAATTCGTCTTCGCGAGACGACAGGCTGCTCTGCTCGTTAGATGCTCGCTCGTCGCTGCCCGACAGAGCGTCGCACTTGAAGTAGCTCGATTTTACCGAGGACATCGCATTAAGGAGACTGTAACGATAATCCGACAACTGCTGGTTCGCGGGCTTCGAGCTGGATCGAGCTCGATTGTAGGGGTTTTCGTTTTTGCTAATCTCCACCAGCGTCTCACTCGCGTCTGCCAACTTTAAGATCGTCGGCGATATGGCTATCACTGCTCCGCTGCTGTTTTGCTCTTCACTTCGTGCGTCGTTTCGGAAATTAAGGACACGTAATCACGTTTTGAACACAGTAACGAACCAAAAAGCACACAGCTTTGGCGCTCTTGTTTCCGGCAAAGAAAGAATGCTAACGACGAACTAACAGATTCGATTTCATGAATGATCATTTACCTCAAAATCAAATCTAATGTTATTTTAACCCAAAGTGAATGCTCTCTGATAAGAATTATGTCCCAATTAGATGTTAACTGATATGAAATAAATAAAAAATCGATGTCCCTGAAGTCTAGCTGCTACTGCGAGTGTTAATTACAAATATTGATCTACGGACACACCATCGAGTGACTGGATGTCGAAAAATCTCTCCGAACTAATGAACAAACTAAGTGAAAAAGTTGATATACATACTTTTGTTGGCTTCTCGTCGGAGCAGCGGCCTCGGTGGCAGTAGTGCTGGCTGCTGTCTGATCGGACATTAAATTCTTTTTGACAGTCAGTAAGGTTGGCGTTGAAGCTCGTACCTCACCGTGATTGTACCTTCTTAAGTAGTTTTTACTGTAAAATTTTGGTGGCTCTTGAGGCCGCTGCCGCCTCTTCGACGAGTGCTCACGATTGCTTTTGCTCTTTACATCGGCATGTTTCTCCATTTTCGTAGCTCGTGAAAGCTCCAAAGAGCTTTGCAATTTTAAAGTGTTCCGATGTACTTTTGCTTTTGCTCCCTTAGCAATTCTGTGTACTTTTTTCTCTTCAAAACCCTTCCTCCCCCTCTCTTTCTCACTCTCTCTCTGTCTATATCTATCTTTCCTGGACGATGAATGGCTTTTTTTTCTTACGGCACCGAGTTTTGCTATCAGGCACTCAAATAATTTAGAATAATTTAAAACTTTAGAGGTTAATTAATAACTTGGTGTGTTTGTGTGTATATGCCGCAAAAAGTTTGGTTACCGCTATGCCGGAGTTTGTAAACATCATTCGGATGTTTTTAACAAGCCTGGTCTTAAATTGATAGCATTTCATTATTATACAATTATATTTGTCGAATCTCAATCTACAAGGAAAAAATTTATTCTTAAACTTTTATTTTATTTTCTGGTACACCGAGGAAAATTGGCTTTTATATTTTTGAAATAGGTTGAAAGTGTATGAATATAGAAATTAGGCGGTACCCTCAACATAGCTGTCAACCTTGAAGAAAATTCAAGCACATCCGTAACTAGCACAGCAAAAATAACAAAATATTGACTAGCGATAATAAAGCATCATGCTGCATCGTTCATTCTTATCGCGTGCCCCGGTGCAGCCCGCATAAATGAGGCAGTAACAGTAGCGGGAGTGAGCCGCTCAAAGAACACATACACGGTCGTGTACTGCTCCGCTGAATTTCGAAAAAGCCCTAATTCTGATCACTATACTCCTTGCCCCATTTATCTCCTTGTGCATATTTAATTAATCGCAGCGCGACGATCACTCGCGGATAATTTTCTCATGCAGCTCGCGTAAATGTTTTCTCGAAACTGCCTTTGAGACAGAATATTCCCTTCTCCCACGAGTGTCGCATTCAACGAGAGAAAGTCTCTTGCGAGCTACGAGGCAAATGCAACGAGACCTCATTATGCCTCTCAAGCGTACAAGTCAATTAACTACTTAAGAGCGTATCGCAGCAGGAAGCTATATGCCGTTAGCGTCGAGTAGTAAAGTTGTTCACTCTCTACTGCTTATACCATTTGTTTGCTCTCTTTTCGTTATTTTCAATGCAATAACGCAAAACACATAGATTTCGCTCGCTCGATGCAATTCAATTTTTCATGCGATTGACTGAAAGAGCACTGAACTACTTTGGATTTTGATTTTCCTTTTTTTAAATTGGAATACGCTCGAAGCTCTTGTTTGATTTTCCAGGAATAATTAATTATTGACGTACAACAAATCCAATTTGGTCAATTACACAAAGTACATAATACATCGATCGCGATTGAATATACACGGCACATATACGGATTGAATATATACAGGCAACATAAAGTTATAATTAAAAATAAATTGAACGTATAAAAGCTAGTTCAAACAGTAAATTGCTTGCAAAGCATTTTGTATTTTGCCCTATTAATAATCACCGTACAATACAATAAGATAAATACACCAGTTTGTTATTCTTAATAATAAGAATAAATGAATCTGGTGAAATCATTTTGCTTATCTAACCTGTCGTTTGCTGTACCTTGTTTCTGATTTGAAACGTAGTACGACTCTATTCATAAACACAGTTGTAATTTAAGTAAACCAACAATCACGGTGAGTAGCTGTTGAGAAAACCACTATATTTCAAGCGAATAAACGTCTGTTGCGGTAGCTAAGCAAATGGAAATGTAAAAGAAAATAATAACATGACGGAAAGTACATTTTAATTTCTCTCGTATAGAGCAAAACATCACGAAATGATTACTCTCGGTAATAATCATGCCATGAACATTCGTAGCAAGAAAATGAAGAGCTAGAGGTGGTAGAAAAAAAAGCCTACAAGTCGAGCGCACCACGGAAAACGTATACATTTGAGTGCAGAAACCGCATAACGTCTCTCTCCCTCTCTCTGGCTGGTTTTCACGGTGGTGGCGATGAGCCCCGGAACACTTATAATTAGCCCCGTTTCTCATCGACACTTACGCGCACGAAAATTCCCAGTGAAATCTCGCTCGACTCGCGCGCACTAGCTATTCATTATAATAATGGACGACCCCTCGGCCTCTTCCGTTTAAGAGCTGCAATTGTGGACGCCAAGTTTAAAAGCGCCTTTGGTGATTAGGGGGGGGGGGGAGGGAACGCAAACGGTTACTTAGCCCCAGTTAGTTCGATTTTTTCCTCCTTCTTCCTCCTCTTTTTATCACTCTACTCCAATATCCAGATGATAAAAATCAAGGAAGTAACTCTGAGAGTGAAGAATTATGAGGAAACCATGATGAGTACGGATGGTTGATTAAGCGAGCAATTATGTGGTTATCTTAATGTTTGAGAGTGTACGTTTTAAAGAGCAACAAAGCTATAATGTGATATTGTTATTGTTATTATTACTTAAAAAACTCCGTTCATATGAACGCGTCAAAGGTACAATAGGTACCTGTACACATTATTCTTAGTTCCCTATAATCATTAGCATGTGCACTTACCGCCCTTACCACTTTTGGAATGGTGAGAGAAATTTTATTACGCATTATGAGTGGACCAACAGTTTATGGTGGAATTCAAATCTCCGAAAATATCTAAATATAATAGATCTTTTAATAAAAGTTTAATAAAATGCAGAGTTAATCGTTCATCGTACAATTGAAAAAGACTGTTACACCAAGCTTTAATTTAATAAAACAGCATGCTACAGTATTACAATACGAAGACGACGACCCAGTACGAAAAGTAAAGAGGTAAATCGAGGGAATGAAATCACGGTCAAGCGTAAACTGTTCGACAAATCGAATCTCAGAAGTTTCGTCGCCCTCTCTCCTCTTAATCTCCTGGGTTGTGTAGTGAAAGTAAGAGCCATGGCGCTTAATTCAGTGGTGGCTGTGTACGCGCTTAAGCATATATAGATAGCTATATGCACATAGAACTTGGATATGTAGCATAGAGTTGAGAAAGGATCCTCGATCGCGTATACGCTCACTGAAACGAGCGTACATTGGATATTGTATCGGATAACGGGCTGCGCATGTAGCAACCTCTTCCGTAAGCTATATGCATGCCCTGCGAGACCCGATCCAGGAGCTACCGTGCGCCAGTCGCCTACTATCATAACGGAGTTAGGTCGTGTTTTTCTTTGGGTATGAAAGAATCAGGCGAAGTCAGAGCGAACAAAACGATTTGCGAACTCTTGCCTTGATCAATTACCGGCGCTCCTGAGTCGATCGATTTTGTTGCTTTTTTCTAATGCAATCTGCATTCTCTTTTCTGCATAGGCTATAAAAGCAAATGAGCGATAATAAGAATAATAAGATTTGTCGTTTGAATGGATTATAACGATTAATCCAGCATTTAAAAGGTAGTCGGCACTCGCCGATTATCTTTAATCAGAGATACTATAATGCAACGTTGGTTACAATTAAATTCGATATACAAACGCTCTCTGCGTCGGATTGAGCCAGCTATTCATCAAGAAATCGCATCTTTTACATCATTCAAATAAAGGCGCTCGAGTTATCAGAGATCATAAGAATAAAAAAGTAGTTGAAGATACAGGGAAATTCGGCGATTGAACGATCAAAAGCGGTTTACGAATACAAAAAAAGTCGTGGTGGGTATCGTAACGATCGATAATGAAATCAGTAAATAATCCTTAGGGCAACGAGAGTAGACTGCGGGCTTTAAACTAATTGTGGCTTTGGCCAATTTGCGAGTCGATTAACGCGCATCGTGGTTAAACGCTGCGCATCGCGTCTTTTCTAATAAACGCTCGAGCTATATATATACTTATAGCTGCCAAGACGATTGAAACGTTCATGAGTCAATGTACGAGTATATCGCTTGGACGCTTCTGCAAAACGCAACTCTTGAAACGATCAATCGGCTGGAAACTTGCCTCGGCCGAGCAATCATTTATTGGCGCGCAATGCCAGATAGTTTTTTTCCTTTTGTTTTGTTTTCTTTTTCTATTGAAAGCTTGCGCATAAAGTTCTACTATGCGCACACTGTTTTTGTTCGCTCATCGTATACAATAATATTTGATTTTAGAAAAAATAAAGAAATAATTTGTTTTCGTTAGACTGGTGATCCGCTTTTTTAAAATTTAATTGATGGAATTTATTTTATCAAATGAAATGGTTCTTTGAGTAGCTTATTTAGATATTAAATTCTGAAGAATTCTATTTATCGGAGTAAACTTAATATATGCACTTAAAATTTTCAAAGTTGGTAAATAAATAAATTTAAATAAGTAAAGGAGAATTTTCGACTTTTTTAACGTTGTTAACTGTGTGAGTTTTATGAACCAATAGTCTAAAGTTCAAAGCGTACATATCTAGAGAATACTTGCTAGCAGTATGTATACAGGTTTTTGTAAATGTAAACTCTTAGATATGAATCTTGTGAGCGTACGTCGGATGTTTGCTGAAGAAACACACTGAGTGTCGTCGTCGTCGTCGTCATCTCTAACTCTCAGCGCGTAAGAAATACAATATTGAAACTCTCGTTTATGCGCACAGCTTTACTTGATTGTGTGTGCATATATTCAAGGTAGGTCAGTGTATGCATTGCATATAGGTGCACCTCATATATACATAGACACGCAAATGTAACATCCTATGCACTCGGTTATTCCCTTTTGCGCGAGCTTATAGCCCATTGAAAAAGTTATCGATTACATTTATTTTTGTTTTTTTTTTTTTTGTGAAAGCTTTGTTTGGCATCCAATATAACTCTCACGCTTCAAGAAGTATACATCGAATGAAATGCTTTTGTAATCTTATGGCTTTTTTCTTATTTCAGGGAGCCCACCATCAATCATTAACCTTGATATTTTATTCCTTTTTTCTAATATTGCACGGTGATGATATTTTACTTCAAAATATAATTTTTCTGATTTTTGAACCGTTTCAAAAAGTGAATGACTTTTCTTTGTTAGATGAGAGAAGTATTATGGTTAAAATAAATTGCAGATTGACAC